GTTTACTAGACAGGCGCTTTCACCAACTAAGCCATGGCGCCCTGGTCACGAATTTTGACCTTTCGTTTCTACCTCTCGGTACACTGTGTGGACATTATTACGATCCATATTAAGTGTCATACGTTTCATCGACACAGTGATATTCAAATTTCCAGGTAATTTTTATTTTTATAAAGATAGCATGTTCCGATTTACTTGCATATCATCCACCATCCTGAAGAGAATTTCCCAACCCTGGACGAGTACAAATAATGTAATTATCAAACAAGGAATTGTTCGGTGAAGCACCTAAATAAAAAGGCACCACTGAGATTCGAACTCAGGATCTCCTGTTTACTAGACAGGCGCTTTAACCAACTAAGGCATGGCGCCCTGGTCACGAACTTTGACCTATCGTTTCGAACTCTCGGTACAATGTATGGACATTATTACGATCCATAATGAGTGTCGTTAGTTTCATCGACACAGTGATATTCAAATTTCCAGGTAATTTTTATTTTTAAAATGATAGCATGTTCCGATTTACTTGCATATCATCCACCAGCCTAAAGAGAATTTCCCAACCCTGGACGAGGGCCAATCATGAGTGTCAATAATGTAATTATCAAAGAAGGAATTGTTCGGTGAAGCACCTAAATAAAAAAGGCACCACTGAAATTCGAACTCAGGATCTCCTGTTTACTAGACAGGCGCTTTAACCAACTAAGCCATGGCGTCCTGGTCACGAACTTTGACCTTTCGTTTCGACCTCTCGGTGCACTGTATGGACATTATTACGATCCATATTACGTGTCATAAGTTTCATCGACACAGTGATATTCCAATTTCCAGGTAATTTTCATTTTTAAATGATAGCATGTTCCGATTTACTTGCATATCATCCACCAGTCTGAAGAGAATTTCCCAACTCTGGACGAGTACAAATAATGTAATTATCAAACGAGGAATTGTTCGGTGAAGCACCTAAATAAAAAAGGCACCACTGAGATTCGAAACTCAGGATCTCCTGTTTACTAGACAGGCGCTTTAACCAACTAAGGCATGGCGCCCTGGTCACGAACTTTGACCTATCGTTTCGAACTCTCGGTACAATGTATGGACATTATTACGATCCATAATGAGTGTCGTTAGTTTCATCGACACAGTGATATTCAAATTTCCAGGTAATTTTTATTTTTAAAATGATAGCATGTTCCGATTTACTTGCATATCATCCACCAGCATCAAGAGAATTTCCCAACCCTGGACGAGTACCAATCATGAGTGTCAATAATTTAATTATCAAACAAGGAATTGTTCAGTGAAGCATCTAAATAAAAAAGGCACCACTGAGATTCGAACTCAGGATCTCCTGTTTACTAGACAGGCGCTTTAACCAACTAAGGCATGGCGCCCTGGTCACGAACTTTGACCTATCGTTTCGAACTCTCGGTACAATGTATGGACATTATTACGATCCATAATGAGTGTCGTTAGTTTCATCGACACAGTGATATTCAAATTTCCAGGTAATTTTTATTTTTATAATGATAGCATGTTCCGATTTACTTGCATATCATCCACCAGCCTGAAGAGAATTTCCCAACCCTGGACGAGTACAAATAATGTAATTATCAAACAAGAAATTGTTCGGTGAAGCACCTAAATAAAAAAGGCACCACTGAGATTCGAACTAGACAGGCGCTTAAATCAACTAAGCCATGGCGCCCTGGTCACGAACTTTGACCTTTCGTTTCGACCTCTCGGTACACTGTGTGGACATTATTACGATCCATAATAAGTGTCATAAGTTTCATCGACACAGTGATATTTCAATTTCCAGGTTATTTTTATTTTTAAAATGATAGCATGTTCCGATTTACTTGCATATCATCCACCAGCCTAAGGAGAATTTCCCAACCCTGGGCGAGTACCAATCATGAGTGTCAATAATGTAATTATCAAACAAGGAATTGTTCAGTGAAGCACCTAAATAAAAAAGGCACCACTGAGATTCGACCTCAGGATCTCCTGTTTACTAGACAGGCGCTTTAACCAACTAAGCCATGGCGTCCTGGTCACGAACTTTGACCTTTCGTTTCGACCTCTCGGTGCACTGTATGGACATTATTACGATCCATATTACGTGTCATAAGTTTCATCGACACAGTGATATTCCAATTTCCAGGTAATTTTCATTTTTAAATGATAGCATGTTCCGATTTACTTGCATATCATCCACCAGTCTGAAGAGAATTTCCCAACTCTGGACGAGTACAAATAATGTAATTATCAAACGAGGAATTGTTCGGTGAAGCACCTAAATAAAAAAGGCACCACTGAGATTCGAAACTCAGGATCTCCTGTTTACTAGACAGGCGCTTTAACCAACTAAGGCATGGCGCCCTGGTCACGAACTTTGACCTATCGTTTCGAACTCTCGGTACAATGTATGGACATTATTACGATCCATAATGAGTGTCGTTAGTTTCATCGACACAGTGATATTCAAATTTCCAGGTAATTTTTATTTTTAAAATGATAGCATGTTCCGATTTACTTGCATATCATCCACCAGCATCAAGAGAATTTCCCAACCCTGGACGAGTACCAATCATGAGTGTCAATAATTTAATTATCAAACAAGGAATTGTTCAGTGAAGCATCTAAATAAAAAAGGCACCACTGAGATTCGAACTCAGGATCTCCTGTTTACTAGACAGGCGCTTTAACCAACTAAGGCATGGCGCCCTGGTCACGAACTTTGACCTATCGTTTCGAACTCTCGGTACAATGTATGGACATTATTACGATCCATAATGAGTGTCGTTAGTTTCATCGACACAGTGATATTCAAATTTCCAGGTAATTTTTATTTTTATAATGATAGCATGTTCCGATTTACTTGCATATCATCCACCAGCCTGAAGAGAATTTCCCAACCCTGGACGAGTACAAATAATGTAATTATCAAACAAGAAATTGTTCGGTGAAGCACCTAAATAAAAAAGGCACCACTGAGATTCGAACTAGACAGGCGCTTAAATCAACTAAGCCATGGCGCCCTGGTCACGAACTTTGACCTTTCGTTTCGACCTCTCGGTACACTGTGTGGACATTATTACGATCCATAATAAGTGTCATAAGTTTCATCGACACAGTGATATTTCAATTTCCAGGTTATTTTTATTTTTAAAATGATAGCATGTTCCGATTTACTTGCATATCATCCACCAGCCTAAGGAGAATTTCCCAACCCTGGGCGAGTACCAATCATGAGTGTCAATAATGTAATTATCAAACAAGGAATTGTTCAGTGAAGCACCTAAATAAAAAAGGCACCACTGAGATTCGACCTCAGGATCTCCTGTTTACTAGACAGGCGCTTTAACCAACTAAGCCATGGCGTCCTGGTCACGAACTTTGACCTTTCGTTTCGACCTCTCGGTGCACTGTATGGACATTATTACGATCCATATTACGTGTCATAAGTTTCATCGACACAGTGATATTCCAATTTCCAGGTAATTTTCATTTTTAAATGATAGCATGTTCCGATTTACTTGCATATCATCCACCAGTCTGAAGAGAATTTCCCAACTCTGGACGAGTACAAATAATGTAATTATCAAACGAGGAATTGTTCGGTGAAGCACCTAAATAAAAAAGGCACCACTGAGATTCGAAACTCAGGATCTCCTGTTTACTAGACAGGCGCTTTAACCAACTAAGGCATGGCGCCCTGGTCACGAACTTTGACCTATCGTTTCGAACTCTCGGTACAATGTATGGACATTATTACGATCCATAATGAGTGTCGTTAGTTTCATCGACACAGTGATATTCAAATTTCCAGGTAATTTTTATTTTTAAAATGATAGCATGTTCCGATTTACTTGCATATCATCCACCAGCATCAAGAGAATTTCCCAACTCTGGACGAGTACAAATAATGTAATTATCAAACAAGGAATTGTTCAGTGAAGCATCTAAATAAAAAAGGCACCACTGAGATTCGAACTCAGGATCTCCTGTTTACTAGACAGGCGCTTTCACCAACTAAGCCATGGCGCCCTGGTCACGAATTTTGACCTTTCGTTTCTACCTCTCGGTACACTGTGTGGACATTATTACGATCCATATTAAGTGTCATACGTTTCATCGACACAGTGATATTCAAATTTCCAGGTAATTTTATTTTTATAAAAGATAGCATGTTCCGATTTACTTGCATATCATCCACCATCCTGAAGAGAATTTCCCAACCCTGGACGAGTACAAATAATGTAATTATCAAACAAGGAATTGTTCGGTGAAGCACCTAAATAAAAAGGCACCACTGAGATTCGAACTCAGGATCTCCTGTTTACTAGACAGGCGCTTTAACCAACTAAGGCATGGCGCCCTGGTCACGAACTTTGACCTATCGTTTCGAACTCTCGGTACAATGTATGGACATTATTACGATCCATAATGAGTGTCGTTAGTTTCATCGACACAGTGATATTCAAATTTCCAGGTAATTTTTATTTTTAAAATGATAGCATGTTCCGATTTACTTGCATATCATCCACCAGCCTAAAGAGAATTTCCCAACCCTGGACGAGGGCCAATCATGAGTGTCAATAATGTAATTATCAAAGAAGGAATTGTTCGGTGAAGCACCTAAATAAAAAAGGCACCACTGAAATTCGAACTCAGGATCTCCTGATTACTTGAATGGCGCTTTAACCAACTAAGCCATGGCGCCCTGATGTCGAACTTCCACCTTTCGGTTCGACCTCTCAGTACACTGTGTGGACATTATTACGATCAATATTAAGTGTCATAAGTTTCGACGACACAGTGATACTCAAATTTCCAGGTAATTTTTATTTTTATAATGATAGCATGTTCCGATTTACTTGCATATCATCCACCAGCCTAAAGAGAATTTCCCAACCCTGGACGAGTATCAATCATGAGTGTCAATAATGTAATTATCAAACAAGGAATTGTTCGGTGAAGCACCTAAATAAAAAAGGCACCACTGAGATTCGAACTCAGGATGTCCTGTTTACAAGACAGACAATTTAACCAACTAAGCCATGGCGCCTTGGTCACGAAATTCGACCTTTCGTTTCGACCTCTAGGTACACTGTATGGACATTATTACGATCCATATTAAGTGTCATAAGTTTCATCGACACAGTGATTTTCCAATTTCCAGGTATTTTTTTGTTTTTAATATGATAGCATGTTCCGATTTACTTGCATAACATACACCAGCCTAAAGAGAATTTCCCCAACCCTGGACTAGCACCAATCATGAGTGTCAATAATGTAATTATCAAAACATCGAATTGTTCTGTGAAGCACCTAAATAAAAAAGGCACCTCTGAGATTCGAACTCAGGATCCCCTGTTTACTAGACAGGCGCTTTAACCAACAAAGGCATGGCGCCCTGGTCACAAACTTTGACCTTTTGTTTCGACCTCTCGGTACACTGTATGGACATGATTGCGATCCATATTAAGTGTCATAAGTTTCATCGAAACAGTGATATTCCAATTTCCAGGTTATTTTTATTTTTAATATGATAGCATGTTCCGATTTACTTGCATAACATCCACCAGCCTAAAGAGAATTTCCCAACCCTGGTCGGGTACCAATCATGAGAGTCAATAATGTAATTATCAAAGAAGGAATTGTTCGGTGAAGCACCTAAATAAAAAAGGCACCACTGAAATTCGAACTCAGGATCTCCTGATTACTTGAATGGCGCTTTAACCAACTAAGCCATGGCGCCCTGATGTCGAACTTCCACCTTTCGGTTCGACCTCTCAGTACACTGTGTGGACATTATTACGATCAATATTAAGTGTCATAAGTTTCGACGACACAGTGATACTCAAATTTCCAGGTAATTTTTATTTTTATAATGATAGCATGTTCCGATTTACTTGCATATCATCCACCAGCCTAAAGAGAATTTCCCAACCCTGGACGAGTATCAATCATGAGTGTCAATAATGTAATTATCAAACAAGGAATTGTTCGGTGAAGCACCTAAATAAAAAAGGTACCACTGAGATTCGAACTCAGGATTTCCTGTTTACTAGACAGGCGCTTTAACCAACTAAGCCACGTGGCCCTGGTCACGAATTTGGACCTTTCGTTTCTACCTCTCGGTACACTGTGTGGACATTATTACGATCCATATTAAGTGTCATACGTTTCATCGATACAGCGATATTCAAATTTCCAGGTAATTTTTATTTTTATAATGATAGCATGTTCCGATTTACTTGCATATCATCCACCAGCCTGAAGAGAATTTCCCAACCCTGGACGAGTACAAATAATGTAATTATCAAACAAGAAATTGTTCGGTGAAGCACCTAAATAAAAAAGGCACCACTGAGATTCGAACTAGACAGGCGCTTAAATCAACTAAGCCATGGCGCCCTGGTCACGAACTTTGACCTTTCGTTTCGACCTCTCGGTACACTGTGTGGACATTATTACGATCCATAATAAGTGTCATAAGTTTCATCGACACAGTGATATTTCAATTTCCAGGTTATTTTTATTTTTAAAATGATAGCATGTTCCGATTTACTTGCATATCATCCACCAGCCTAAGGAGAATTTCCCAACCCTGGGCGAGTACCAATCATGAGTGTCAATAATGTAATTATCAAACAAGGAATTGTTCAGTGAAGCACCTAAATAAAAAAGGCACCACTGAGATTCGACCTCAGGATCTCCTGTTTACTAGACAGGCGCTTTAACCAACTAAGCCATGGCGTCCTGGTCACGAACTTTGACCTTTCGTTTCGACCTCTCGGTGCACTGTATGGACATTATTACGATCCATATTACGTGTCATAAGTTTCATCGACACAGTGATATTCCAATTTCCAGGTAATTTTCATTTTTAAATGATAGCATGTTCCGATTTACTTGCATATCATCCACCAGTCTGAAGAGAATTTCCCAACTCTGGACGAGTACAAATAATGTAATTATCAAACGAGGAATTGTTCGGTGAAGCACCTAAATAAAAAAGGCACCACTGAGATTCGAAACTCAGGATCTCCTGTTTACTAGACAGGCGCTTTAACCAACTAAGGCATGGCGCCCTGGTCACGAACTTTGACCTATCGTTTCGAACTCTCGGTACAATGTATGGACATTATTACGATCCATAATGAGTGTCGTTAGTTTCATCGACACAGTGATATTCAAATTTCCAGGTAATTTTTATTTTTAAAATGATAGCATGTTCCGATTTACTTGCATATCATCCACCAGCATCAAGAGAATTTCCCAACCCTGGACGAGTACCAATCATGAGTGTCAATAATTTAATTATCAAACAAGGAATTGTTCAGTGAAGCATCTAAATAAAAAAGGCACCACTGAGATTCGAACTCAGGATCTCCTGTTTACTAGACAGGCGCTTTCACCAACTAAGCCATGGCGCCCTGGTCACGAATTTTGACCTTTCGTTTCTACCTCTCGGTACACTGTGTGGACATTATTACGATCCATATTAAGTGTCATACGTTTCATCGACACAGTGATATTCAAATTTCCAGGTAATTTTTATTTTTATAAAGATAGCATGTTCCGATTTACTTCCATATCATCCACCATCCTGAAGAGAATTTCCCAACCCTGGACGAGTACAAATAATGTAATTATCAAACAAGGAATTGTTCGGTGAAGCACCTAAATAAAAAGGCACCACTGAGATTCGAACTCAGGATCTCCTGTTTACTAGACAGGCGCTTTAACCAACTAAGGCATGGCGCCCTGGTCACGAACTTTGACCTATCGTTTCGAACTCTCGGTACAATGTATGGACATTATTACGATCCATAATGAGTGTCGTTAGTTTCATCGACACAGTGATATTCAAATTTCCAGGTAATTTTTATTTTTATAATGATAGCATGTTCCGATTTACTTGCATATCATCCACCAGCCTGAAGAGAATTTCCCAACCCTGGACGAGTACAAATAATGTAATTATCAAACAAGAAATTGTTCGGTGAAGCACCTAAATAAAAAAGGCACCACTGAGATTCGAACTAGACAGGCGCTTAAATCAACTAAGCCATGGCGCCCTGGTCACGAACTTTGACCTTTCGTTTCGACCTCTCGGTACACTGTGTGGACATTATTACGATCCATAATAAGTGTCATAAGTTTCATCGACACAGTGATATTTCAATTTCCAGGTTATTTTTATTTTTAAAATGATAGCATGTTCCGATTTACTTGCATATCATCCACCAGCCTAAGGAGAATTTCCCAACCCTGGGCGAGTACCAATCATGAGTGTCAATAATT